TCGATGTTGGTCTTTAGCGGGATTCGATGTGGTCTTTTAGGCGTCGTCGCGGCTCGTGCGCCAGTACGAGAGGATGTGCCAGAAGACCTCGTTGGGAATCGGGCGGTGGAGCTGGCGGCTCGCGAGACGCTTCGGGGTCGAGGAGGATGACGGCGCGGCGGAGAAGAGTCGCGCGAGGATGGGGTCGCGGCGTGCGATCGGAGGTCGCGCGCGGCCGCGAGCGCAAAGCAGACGTAGGCGGACGAGCTCGATACGAGGTGCTCGGATGTAGGTTTGCCACCCCCCCGCGGCACGGACGGCGGAGACGAAGTCCGCCAAACACTGATCATATGTCCCTTCCTCGCGAGCTTCTTCAAACGCATCCCAACCATCATCGTCGGCCGTCAGTTTCACGTCGGCCCCGCGTCGCACGATGAAACGCGCGCATTCCAGACGTCCACCAAAAGTGAAACAAAAAAGAGGCGTTCGCCCATCGTCAGTGCGAGCATCCACATCGGCGCCCAAATCGAGTAGTAGCGAAGCCTCGCTTGGATACGAGCATAAGTGAATCGGCATCATTCCGTCGCCGCGTCGGACGTTTATATCCGCACCATTAGAAACCAAGAGGCGAACCATATCTGACCGATCAGCTCTAGTAGTTTGGTCTCCGTACAAAGTCATGTGGAGGAGACAATGAAAATTGAATCTCATATTGGGATCGCCGCCTTCGTCCAGCCATTTCTTAAGCGCCACACGGTCCCCCCTTAGCAAAGCCTCTCCTTGCGGTGTTGTCCATCCGTTGGCGATGAACGCTTGATCCATGCTCGCGCGGGGTGTCCCTGTGTCGTGTGCCGCGCGCCCACGCGCACACTATTGCGACTAAAAAAATTACCACAAAGGCTTTGTGCGATCGAGCAAGGCCTCGCAAGCTTGGCTCCGCCCCATGCGTCGCCTCGGGCTCGCGGCATGCGTCCTGGCCGCCGCCGCGTCGACGCCGGAGCGCCAGGAACTCGTCGTCGTCCCCTGCTGCGGCATCGGGAACCGCATCGCCGTCATGATGGAGGCGTTGGCCCTGGCCCACGCCTGGTCCCTCGCGCCGTCCGTGAACTGGGTCCGGGGCTCGGTGCTCGGCGCGGCCTTCGGCGACCTTTGGGAGGCCCACCCGGCCTTCGACCGCGTCGTGGAGGTCGACGCGACGAGCGATCGCGGCAAATCCGGCGGCCGGGTCACGTGCGGCCGCGACGGCGCGGCGGCGCGGTCCGCGTCCGGCTTCGCGGAGGGCGTCGCCGTGCGCGACTTCGCGGACCTGACCTGCGCGGCGCCGGCCGGCGGGCCCGGGTCCGGCCCCTGCGTCTTCGCGAGCTGCGGCGGCCACGTCGCGCGCCAGTTCGTCGACGTCGCGCGCGCGTGGGTCCCCGACGCGCGGCCGCGGCCCCACAAGAAGCGCGTGTGGCGCGTCCCGACGAGCGACGGCAAGCTGCGGGCCGTGACCTCGCGCGACTTCTTCGAGGGCCGCGACGGGCGCAACGTGTCGGCGGTCCGCGTCGACGACGCGGCGTTCTGCTCCGCGCGCGTCCTCGGCTGGCTCGACGGCTTCCGGCCCGCCGCGGCGGTGCGCGACGCCGCGCGTGCGCCGCGTCCGTGTCTCTCCTCTGTCTCGCGCTCATCGCGCGTCTCGCAG